ACTGATACGTTTTTCAAGTAGGTCATGGGATGTAAAATTCAAAAAGCATGAAAGCATATATAGTAAAAAGTCCCCCCCACCCCACCCCCCGAGGACCTAGGCAAAGGACTGTTGTATTCTTTGACAGTAAAAACTTCCTTTTGTTATGCCTTGTGTGCCAGGTACTGTGCCAAGGACTTTGTATAATCTCGTTTATCATCCCACTAACCTAGGGAAGTAGTTGCGTCTTTTTTTATTATTATTATTTTTGTTTGTTTTAGCGTGCAAGTGAGGGAGAGGGGTAGAGGGAGGGAGAGAGAGAATCTTACGCAGCTGAGCATCGAGCACGACACAGGGCTCGATCCCACGACCCTGGGATCATGACCTGAGCCTAAATCAAGAGTTGGACGCACAACCGAGTTACCCAGGCACCCCGGGAAGTAGTTTTTAACTATGAAGAAATGTCAAGTCAGAGAGTTTAAAGAACTTACCTGCGGGGACAGCGCCAGTTAGTAGAGCGAGGGCGTGTGTGCTCAGGTATCCTGACTCTGCACTGACGCCCCTCCTGCCGCGCTCCAGCACTGCTCCGTGGTCGAGTGGCCAGGGTGGCCTCAGCTGGGAGCTAGTGAGAAACGCACAGCAAGGAGGGGCGCCTGGGTGGCTCAGTCAGTTAAGCGTCCGACTCTTGAGTTCAGCTTAGGTGATGATCTCATGGTTCATGAGTTCAAGCCCCACATCGGGCTCTGTGCTGGCAGTGCAGAGCCTGCTTGGGATTCTCTCTCTCTCTGTTCCCTCTCTGCTTGTGCTTGCTTCCTCTCTCTCTCAAAACTAGACATTAAAAAATAAAAGAAATGCACAGCATGGGGCCGCCCCCCAGCACCCCTCTCCTGCTGAATCAGAAGCTGCCCTTTTTTTCAAGATCCACCCCCGGGAGTGGGGGCTCACATACAGTTTGAGAAGCTCCACTGGTCTGGAAGATGTTTGTCGTGACCTACACCCCACCCCTCCCCCCCCCCATGCAGCACACAGAGAAGCCCCACCAGGAACCTTCTGAGGACTGGTTTGCAGAGTGAACTCACCGCTGGGTGCTGAGAAATCTGGTTTCTAACGCTCAGAAATCCCTCTGCTTCGGGGACAGACACACCCGGAAGTGGCAATAATGCCACATATAGGTGATTATGTGCCAAGCATATAATCTTGGTCTGTTCTTGCTCTGCAAATGCTCCAAATAGCCTTAAGGAGACAGGTACTACCATCCTGTTTTACAGATGAGAAAACTGAGGGCAGAGACAGAAAATAGTTGGCCTAGAGTTCCACAGCTAGCCGGTGAAGGGGCCTGGAGCTGAGGCTTCCGCTTCCAGACGGTGATCAGGGGCTTGTGTTCTGTCAGATGGCGTCACTAGTATTTCAAGCACTCTTCTGGACAGTCCAGCTTTCCTTTCCTTCTGGCCCTAAACCTCCCATGCCTCGCTAGTGCTTCTCTCTGAAGGCACTCGCTCTCCATTCTAGAAGCACAAGTGGCCATAGTTCACCTGTGAGAAAAGCTGCACTGAGTGATTCACGTCCCTTAAAAAAGAACCCTGTCATGGGCAGTGACTCAGCACCTCTTATATTTAAAGGTGTGATCAGGGAGGGGGACAGTCTCGCTGCATACTCCCATCCAGGCTGAGTCTCAAAAGTGGAACATTTCACAAAAAGGACCGCCTCCCGTGTCAGCCCCTGCCTGTCCCCGCGCTTTTCTGGAAGAGGTCAGAGCTGAGATTATAGACACCAGCTGTCAAAACAGGGAAACTCTGGCTCTATTCTAGGACCCTCTCAGGACTTTCTGAAGCATTCCACAGAATTCTTTCTGGAGTTAAGCTGCTGGAATAAAACAATTACACTGGCCCCAGGCCACAGAACTATCAGTAAGAATTTGCTGGCAGGATTTTTTTTCTTGAGGAAAGAAGATCAAGTAAAAAGGTCTAATTCAAGGGGCAGGCTTAGGTGGCCAGAAGTCCCACCCCAAACCCAGGGCCTGGCTTAGGGACAAACAGAAAGAGGTGGGGCACACTGAGCCCACCCTGTCATTTAAATGGAGTTTCCTAAAATGTGGGATGAAGTGACAGAAGCCATGAAGACTGTACCCGTGAGCGGCCAGGGCCCAGCGCCCAACCCGAGGAAACGTTCGCACCCCCTGCACCCTCAGCCCCCCATCGCCTCCTGGTCCTTCCCCGAGTTAATCATTACCCTAACTTTGGTCTGTTTCTTGTATTACAGTCTTTCTTTAAAGGAAACGGAGAGGAAACCGTAAGCGAGGCTGGAAGGAAACAAACGGAGTCAATTGTGAGGAAACCGACTGCAGATCTTTCTGCCAAGGGGGATAATGGCTCCGTGTGGCAGGTGAGGCTACTGGAGAGTCTGGGGATGAAGCACAGATAGACTGTATCTTTTATTAAGTAGAGAAAACTGGGAATTCTACTACGTGATACAAAGGTTCCAGTTTGAGCAGACTCCACAGAAACCCTTCCCATCTACGTGCGCCTCTAGCCGGGAAGATTGCGCTGCCTCCCCGACCACAGGTGCCACGTGGAGCTGATTCACGCTACCGCGCACATGGTCCCCTCCGGGTCGCCCCAAGGGGCGGGGGGCCGAGGGCATGGCGGGTCTCAAAGAGCTACGTTACAAGTAAACTCATGCCGACTTTTTCAGGAGTCCCTTGTGAGACTTTATTTTAAAAGGTCTGCGCAGTGGGCTGTGGGGCAGAGGGCTGCGTAAGCGGTGTCGTGTGGCCAAGTGGAACGTCCCAATCTGTGGAATCGCAGCGGGCGACCCGTCCGGTCAGGCATTGTAGGAAGAGGACGACACGCTGCCACCGTGGCCTGTCCAATTGGTGTGGACAAACCGTCCGGGGTTGGCCGAGAGTTCGTAAGTGTGAGCCCCGAAGTAATCCCGCTGAGCCTGGAAAACAAGGAACTGGACGGGTTGGGATAACACGGGGACACGGACCCTCGGGCCGTGTCAGCGTTTACCACCTGCTCCGAAAGCTTACCTGGATGAGGTTGGCGGGCAGCGTCTCGTGTCTGTAGCCGTCGTAGAAGGAGAGGGCGGTGGTGAAGCAGGGCATGGGGATGCCTGCCCGGACGCCGGTGCTCACCGTCCGCCGCCAGGAGTCCTGAGCCAGAAAGAGCCAAAGACTCGGGGTCAGCCCCCAGAGAGGAGAACGGGCTGCGTCCGAAATGACCACGCTCACGGGCATCGATGCTGGTGAGGGAAACACAAAGCCCGGTGAGGAAGAATTCCCACGCCGCCCAGCTCTGGGCTACCTACCTGGCAGTTTTCAACAGCAGACTTAAAAAAGTCATCCAGTAGTAGATTCTGAAGGTGTGGGTTCCGATCGAACGCGTCTTTTATCTTTCCTAGGAACACGCTGAAACAAGCAAGAGGGAAGAAACCCGTGAAACTTCACCTCCGCGCGCTCAACGCCTGCCAGAAGGCAGGGAAGGAAGCCGGAAGCTGGTACATCCGCCCGCGAGGTACAGAGTGACTCCCCTTATCCCTTCAAGCCGGCTGTTTGCTCAGTGAAAACAGAGCCCGCATGCCACGAGGCAAGGCCAGAGGGCATGACCGTCTTCCCAGAACCAGTTGAAAGGGAGTAGGGCTGACAGTCTAGTCAGAACAGCCGACCCCGTCCTGTCGCCAGCGAGGGGACTGGCCACGCACATCCTAGGGAACCCGTCCCCAGGTGCAGAGGCTGCGACTCCCAGCACGGCGCCGCGGCGCGTCCCCGCACCTACCTCCTGATGATGCAGCCCCCCCTCCACATCAGGGCGATGCCACCGTAGTTGAGGGTCCAGCCAAATTCCGTGGCGGCTTGTCTCAGCAGCATAAAGCCTTGCGCGTACGAGATGATCTTGGAAGCATACAGGGCCTACGGAACGACGGACGCGTCAGAGCTACGGTTAGCCACGTCCACCCCGCGGGCAGGGCCGGGCCTGGCGCGGACAGCGGTGTCAGGACGGGGCTGGACTCTGCCGCCCCCACCCGGGGCCTCCCACGTCTCCACGGGCCGCTCCCACCCCCACTGCCGCCCAAGGCGCCAACCGCGACCACCGCCAGGGAGCGGGCCCCACCTTCTGAATGTCCTCCAGGAATGATTTCTTATCACCTTCAAACTGGATCTTTTGGGGACCCTTCAGCTTTTGGCTGGCTTGAACCCTCTCGTCCTTCAGAGATGATAAGCACCGAGCAAAAACTGCCTCTCCTACGTGGGAGAGAGGATAACGTTACCGAAGTTCACACGTGAAACTGGACAGAAAAGAGTACACGTAAGCCCGAGAAGTTGAGGAAAAAATAGAAATGGAGCCGGATCTCCAACTGTACAAAGAGCCGGAAGTCTCAGTCTTGGGCCGCAAAATCTAACATGGCTCAGAAAGAACTTTTTTTTTTTAAGTTTATTTATTTACTGAGAGAGAGAGAGAGAGAGAGAGAGAGAATCCCAAGCAGGCTCTGCCCTGTCAGCAAAGAGCCCAACTCAGGGCTTGATTCCAGGAACCGTGAGATCATGACCTGAGCCAAAACCAAGACTCGGATGCTTGACCAACTGAGCTACCCAGATGCCCCAGGAAGAACGTTTATACAAAACTCTAGACAGCTGACTTGGAAACTAAAACTCCACAAACAAGTCAATCTTCCAACATAATGTAGGCATCAACCACAAAAATCAACACGCAACTCAATGGGGAGCTTTGCAGAAAAAGCGAGGAGGTAAAGCCACCATGATTCACAATTACTCTGTTGGTTCCCAAGTCAAATTTCAATTTCAATTGAGAGGACTTTAATTTTTAAATGCTCATCAAAGACTCTACTCTAAAAGCACTCGCTACTCCTCAAAAACTAGTGAATAACAGGCAGCCTCAGAATTTGGTGGGAGGCTCAACTATGGTGGCATTGCCTGCACACGGGGGGTGGTGTGAAACCACTAGAACACTGAGAGGTAACCTAGACTCACCCCTCAAAACACTCCATTTTCTATTTGTGAAAATGTAGTTTCCAGTACATCTATAATCACCACAACTTTGTTTCACTGGACTAAAAAACATTTTAGAAAGGTATTTTCATATCAAGACATTTAGTATCTTCAAGAACTAACCCTTATAAAAGACTACTTGCTCAACTGACAAGGTCTTTTTTTTTTAATGCTTATTCATTTTTGAGAGGGGGAGAAGGGGCAGAGAGAGAGAGAGAGAGAGAGAGAGAGAGGGAGGGAGATACAGAATCAGAAGCAGCTCCGAGCTCCGAGCTGTCAGCACAGAGCCCGACGCGGGGCTCGAACCCATGAACCGCGAGATCCTGACCTGGGCGGAAGTCAGACGCTTCACCGACTGAGCCAACCAGGTGCCCCTCAACTGACAAGTTCTCTAATGAGAAGAATTCCTCTAGCCATTCCTTTCCCCGCAGACAAAAATGAAGTAAACTCTCTAGGGACCAACAAAGGGCTTTGTTTTTGAGGAAAGGGTGCCAGCCACACACACTCGAGAACGCTGTCGAGAACGCTGGGTAGTCCTTCTGTCCCCGGGCAGCCCCCTGGCCTGCACATACCCAATGACTCGGCACAAGCAGGAGGAAGTATCTGTGCGAGGCCGCTGGCACCGGGAGGCCAGTGTGGCGCAAGCCCTCGGCGTTACTCAAGGCTCAGCCCGAAGACTTACTTCCCCGATAGTTCAGCAAACACACACGGTGCCCATCCGGGGATTAAGCCTGGCCTGCCTCTGCTGGGTAGAAGGGGTACACCGTCTCTCAAACAAGAGAGTGGGATCCTTTCTGAGCCCGCAATACTCTCCCATTGGGGTCAGTGATGACTACACTGTTCCCAGCTATTGTCCCCTCGGTCCCCAGCCCAGGCAACACTCAGATTTGCTAAACCTCGGCCACTTCCTTCTGCTTGGCCTGCTTCTCCTTATGGTGTCTCACAGCCCCAGCTCACTGTCACCAAGGAGCCACAATTAATCAGGAAATAAGAAGGAGGGAGGAGGCCAGGGAGGGAAAGACAACCTTTAACCGGAAGGGTGAGGAGGAAACTGTGTTTTATTGGAAAGGGAGCCGTTCTGCCATCAGCAAAGATCAGCCTTTCATTACACACACTAGACCCCTTGTTTTATTCTTTTCTTTTCTTTTTTTAAATTAATTTGTTGGGTTTTTAAAAGGACACCTTTTAAAAGGTGCTGTCTGGGCACCCCGTTCTCCTTTTTCACTCTTGCCAGAAATGTAGCTATTTTATTCTGAAAGGACCAACTTGTGGTTTTATTAATCCTCATTATTTGTTCTCTATTTCTGCTTTCTATGATTTCCTTCGCCCTGTATCTTTTTGAGTTTGAGGCTTAGCTCACGGCTATAAGACAAACAACATGCACGAAAAGGATACACACCAATGGTCAGGACAGTGGCTTTCTTCTACAAGAAGGGCAAGGCACTTAGGACAAGAATGTTAAAGGACTTGAAATGTGTAGGCAGTATTTTATTTTTAAAATATCGGGGGGGGAACCTCAGCAAAATATTAATAAATGCTGAGTACATAAGCTTATGTTATTCTGTGAACTTTTGTATGAAAAACTTCATTACAGTGATCTGACCCATTAGAAAGTCATGGAGGTCACTGACTACAGTTCAATCACTAAGACAAAAACTATCCCAGGGGCACCTGGGTGGCTCAGTCGGTTAAGCCTCTGGCTCTTGATTTCGGCTCAGGTCATGATCCCATGGTTCGTGGGTTCGAGCCTCACGCCAGGCTCTGCGCTGAGGGCGCGAGCCTGCTTGGGATTCTCTCTGTCCCTCCCCCACTGATGCTCTCTTTCTCTCTCTCTCAAAATAAATAAATAAACTTAAAAAAAAAAAAAAAAGCTATCCCAAAGGTCAAACTGGAGAAGAAAGCCAAGAATTTCCAAATGTATCTCAAAGTCCGTGTGACTGAGAGGAGGTGACCGGGAAGAGACTGAACAATGTCAGCCTCGCACACCAGAAGAGCAGAAAGCACTCTGGAGGCTGACGAGGGCTGCACACATTCTCCAAAGACCCGCTCCTTAGCTGCCAGTCTACACCAATTTTCCAGGAGGACGTCAAGAGCAAAACAATGAGATAAAAGGCTCCAGGTGGAAGCGGCACCTTACCGATGAGGGTGACAGGAACGCCGTACTCCAGGGCTGAGATGGCAGTCCACTTCCCTGTGCCCTTCTGCCCCGCGCTGTCCCTGATCTTCGGCAGCAGGTGCTTGCCGTCGCTGTCTTGGAACTTGAGGATGTTGGCCGTGATTTCAATCAGGAACGAGTCGAGCTCGGTCTTATTCCATTCCTCAAATGCCTAGTGCAGGACGTGAGAGGAAACAC